CCCTAATATTTTTGGGAAGCCCCCATATGGCCCATATGTGACAACGGCTTCTGATGTTTTGGCACGCTGATTTCAGCCTGTTAGGCTTTACTGTAAGCTCGCAGAATCCAGGATCCCTGCCGGGTCCCTCATTTTGAAGAGTTTTGTAGGTTCAGCGTTGTGGTTGCCTTACTGGAGTCCAGAACCGGTCGAAAAGGCAGTACCCACGGTCAAGGGGTTTAGGCTTTAAGGTGAAGAGTCTGTGGTTAGAGCGGCTTTTCCGGATCAATGTAAGACAAATCTTTCACTTTTGCCAAGAATTGGGCATGGCTATCAGACTGTCAGGGTGCCTGTGCAGAGGAAAGGGTTTCAACATAAGAGCTGAAGTCTAAACTCCCAGTATCCCCTTTGATGACCTCTATACTACTCCCCAATTATAATCCCCTATACAACCAACTTTAACAAGTTTTTTCCCCTCAGCCCTAATCCCTAAACCCTATAATAATCCCCTATATAACACCCTTCAAGGAGTTTAGACCCTCCCTAATCCCTAAACCCTATAATAATCCCCTTTAAGGAGTTTCATAATCCCCTATATAACCCCCTCTACGGAGTTTATACCCTAAACCCTAAACCCTATAATAATCCCCTATATAACCCCCTTTCAGGAGTTTATACCCTGCACCCTAAATCCTACAATAATCCCCTATATAACTCCCTTTAAGGAGTTTAACACATCCCCTATAGAACCCCCTTCAAGGAGTTTATAAGATTCACAATGAGCCGCTTACGGAACTCCTGCATCTGCAGCCTGTGCCCTGAGGACACTAAGGGCAGACTTCATGCCTGGGGCTCAGAAATCGACCTTATATTTTAGGGTCGATGTTGGGGTTATGTAGGGTTTATATAGGGTTTAGAGTTTAGGGTTTATGTTGGGGTTATATTGGGGTTATATTGGGTTTAGGGTTTAGGAAATCGACCTTAGATTTTAGGGTCTATGTTGGGGTTGTATAGGATTTATATAGGGTTTAGGGTTTAGGAAATAGACCTTATAATTTAGGAGGACCCCTCACCCTGTAATAGTGAAATGAGAGGAAGATAAACGGACCCGAATATAATCCTTACTATCCCTGATAGTCGCTATTACTGGTTGGGGGGTTTTAAATTAGGGTTTAGGGTTTTAGGGTCTATATTGGGGTTATATGAGGTTTAGGGTTTTAGTTCTATATCCGGGTTATACAGGGTTTAGGGTTTAGGGTTTCCCAAAGTTAGGGGTGCCTTGAAAGAGGGATTTCGGGTTTATGTTTGGGTTATACAGGGTTGAAGGTTTAGCCCCAAAATTCAGAATACTTGTTTGGTGTAATACGGATTAGAAATTTTAGGGTCTATATTGGGGATGCAGTGGTCGATGCATCAAGGTTCCCCTAATGCTGGGAAACCCTAAGCACTAAACCCTAAACCCTTCACAACCCCAATATATCCCCCATACCCCCCGTTAAAGGTACCAATAATTTTGGGAACGCCACCCCCCCCCCCACCCCCCACCAACCAATAAAAGGTCTACTTCCCAAACCCTAAACCCTAAACCCTATACAACCCCAATACAGATTCTAAAATGTAAAGTAGTTGTTTTTGTTTCAACTCTTTCAGAGTGCGCCTGCAGCCAAGGTGGTCACGTTCCAGCGATCACAAATCATGGACCCTGGGCTATCTATGAGGTTTAGGGTTAAGTGTTAAAAAGTTGAGGGGGTTCGGGTTTAGGGCTTAGGGCTTCAGGGGGTCCAGGGGTCTAGGGGACGCTTGCTTGGGATCGGCTGAATAGACTTGTAGTCCCCCTTAAGTAGTATGGGGTATGGGGTATATGGGGATCTTACTATAATATACCCAAAGCCATATTCTATCTACTTAAGGAGGATTATATGAATTTTACAGTGGAGTTGCATAGTCCTAAACCCTAAACCCTAAACCCTTATACTGGCGAGGCTGTTGCAACCTGAGGCCGAGACCAGGACGGTGGTCGCAGAAGCAGACGATGAGCACGAAGAGACCACTGATGCCAAACAGAAGGCCACTTGAGTTATATAGGGGCTTATATAGGGGCTTATATAGGGGATTATATTGGGGAGTAATATAGGGGTTATTAAGGGGGTTACTAGGAGTTTATACTTTAGCTCATAGACTTTCGATTTGCACGGCTGGCTCTGGGTAATTGTCGGGTCGAGCAGTGACCCTAAACCCTCAACAAACGGCCATTTGTATCTCTGGTGGGCGTCTAGATTCGGTTTGCAGCATGCATCTTCTGCATCTGACTGAGACCCATAGCCTAGCAGGAGGGGGCAAACAGAGTTGCGTACAATTTGCTCACTTCCGACGTTTTGAGGCTTGCTGTTAAAGAAGTTACATAAAGTTGCTATAAGAATCAATAGGGAACTCCTCTATTGTCTAATATATACCCATGTAATGGTGGCTGAATTTAAGTTCTTCACAGCAACCTAGCTTGCCACACCTCTGTTTCTTTCATGCAGGTGCGCATCACCTGGGACGTGGATCCGGTGCCTCGGAGGAAAACTGGGTTCTTGGCTATTTTCTATTCTCGTATATTGTATCATATTATAGAATATTGTCTTATTCTGTATACTATTATAGCATATTACCTTATAGTATATTATAGTCAATTCTGCATCCTAATCCTTAGGTACCCCAGTAGTGCCCTATTTTGGGTACTCTTGTTACTGAGGGTTAATTGCTATGGCACTTAGATCCCCTGACTGTGCTCTCTTAAGCCTTGATTGAACCCTAGTCCCAAACCCTGATCCCAAATGAGTTATAGCCTAAACTTAAAGGGGGGTATATAGGGGAGTGGTATAGTTTGATTAAGGGGGATACTAGGAATTTAGGCTATAGCTCAAATCAGTTTGGAGTGAAGCTACGAAGATCGGCCACTGGCTGAGAGGCCCCAGCTACACGCCTTTGCAGAAACTCAAGGGGGCTATTCTCAAGACTATGGGCCCCTGTTGGTTATAGATTATATCACGGAACTTGATATCTAGGTGTACCAGAATGGGACCTTAATTTTGAGAACTACCCAAGGGTTTGCAGAATTCTGGTAGTCTTCTTTCATAATATAGTCACGATGCAATCGTCTAGAGACCCTAGCCAGAAATCATTTAGCAGCCATTTCCGATGCTTCGATCTGCTCAGGGGAGATTCGCGGAGCAACTTGTCTGATCTACGCCCTAAACCCTAAACCCTAAGTGGCATTCAGCCTTCCACATAGGCTTTACAGAAGAATTGCGCAGCTTTTGCAGTGACAGCATGGATAAGGTAGAAATGCACGTGACACACACACACATATATATATATACACACACACATTACATACATATACATATATATAATGTGTGTTTGCAGACTTTGCGGAGAATGCTGCTCAGTTCGAGTAACGGACGAGTGCCATTCCTGAGATTTTTCACTATGCGGTACTTGCTGGCTGAGAATCAAGCAGAAAAGCGGATAACACATAAAACGGAAACTGCGAGACGTGTGGGGTTTGTGATCTTAGATTCTTTGTCAGCAGGGAATGAGGGAATGGAAAAGCGCAGACGACTATGGTATTATTGGGTCTCATATTATAGGGGGCTGCTGCAGGGATCCCTTCCTCCATTCTCCACTAAAGACTGAGTGTATCGTGGGCTTTGATCCTGTAACCCTAAGCCTCAAACCCCATCCGTACAGTAGAGACCCACAAAACAGGATACAGTAGACATGCAGGAGAACTCCATGATCGCAACCATAATTGTGGGATCTTGGCATAAGCGCATTTCACGTTATCCAGAGTCCAAAAAGCATCCTCAAATCCCTTGAGTTTTCAGATGCAAACTTCCTTAGAAGGCATTTTTAGCCTGCCTGGGTCCTGGGTCCCACGAGGGCGTGTGTGCGATTCTTTTTGTCTGTAGATGTTGACCGAAACTCAGTTCACTTGAGGCGCCAACAGTCTTGAAATTGGGAATGCGCACGGAGTCTTTTGGGCATCTAGGGCTGTTCCACGCATCAAAGTGTGTGCATGGGAGCCGTGACTGGAGCTCAAGTAACCCTAAACCCCGAGGAGTCCTAAGCTCAAGACAAAAGAGTGAGTCTTCACCCTACCAAGACCAGTGCAAACTTGCCCTGCTGTCAAACGCCCTGAACCCTAAACCCTGCAGGGAGTGCACCCAAGCTTCGTACGCTGCACAATCCCCATAATGCTGCGTGCCGAGGAGATTGAACCACCTCAGGGGGCATCGTTGGGTATCCATGGCTGCTTGTCATTCTGGTTGTAGGCCGGCTATGGTTTTACTCGAAACTCAGTTGTTGTTGGTGTTGTTGTCATATACCGACATTCACTTCCATAAGCATCATCATTCTTATTTGCTGATGATATGCCCAAAGAAGCCAACATTCCTCAAGTGGTTGAGATGTTGCATGTTTGGCCATCGCTGCTGCCTCCACCGCCCCCACCACCGCCCCCGC